GAGCGTCTTTTGCAACTGTCTGCCGAGCACCACTTGTTTCTTAGTAGCACTGCTTTTAGACGCAGTGGGCGCCGAAGTGCCACTTGTCGTCCTCCTGTAGCTGATCAGCGATGTACCCAAATTGATCACGTTGCCATAATTTACAGATGGTATGGTTCCATCTTGGATTAGCGATCGTTCTGGAATACCTGCATCGACTCTAATCATGCCTTAGTACGCTGTCGTTTCTCCATGAACTTTACCGGGAGGCGTACCAAGCGTCTCCTCCGATTGGCAACTGAGAGATTGTCTCAGCCCTCTGTCAGGCAAGCCTATCAAGACGCACTGAGTATTGAACTTTCGCTATCTTGTCTTAATGACACTGTTTCAATGGAATAGGATATCTGCTTGTGGTACTAACAATCATCACCCCACCACTCACTGAATATCCATGGGGTCGATGAACCTGTTTGAATCCAGAAAAAAACTCCCAGCTGTCTCTGAGCACAATGTGAGTAGGTGTATTCTTGGGCGTGAAATAATACGGGGCTTGCGTGCTGATAAGGAAGCCTGGTGTACCAGTTGGGCTCAATAAATGGATGAGGCCGGAGCGGCAGGAAATTACCGCAAGCTCTTCTAGTTGATCCGCATCACGGCTCCCAGAAACCAAGCGTCAGTGAGACAACAAGAGACTGCGCGGGTGCACTGATACACAATATGAAATGCCGTGTGGCTGGTTTGGCGGAACACTTTCAATATCTGGTTAGTTGGTCCTCTGCTCCCGGACCTCCTACTCAGCTGATGCAGGATGTGCCATGATCAGTTAGTTTAGAGGCTCTATCGGAGGCTGAGGTCCGAAACGCGATCACACCCCTCTATCGGTTTCATGCTGCTGACGCGGATCCCTTCCACCTGCGCTGTTTAAGGATGGAAGTGAGGTCCGCTGCAAAGTACTGACCTCCCTATTCGAACATGTCTGAATAGAAGAGAATGTCCCAGCTAACTGGAGTGAATCGGTTATGGTGACCATATGCAAGAAGGGCATTCTCAGCGATTGTGTTAACCACAGGGAAATTACCTTAACGCCCACTTGTGACAAAAGTACTGGCCTTACTTCTCGTTCGTCACCTCACTATGGAACAGGAATCCCGAATAAGGGAAGAGCATGCAGGTTTCCGTCCAGGACACGGCTGTGATGACCATATACATTGCCGCAGGTTCTGGAACGGCGTCACGCCTACCGCAGACTGACAGAAGCTGTGTTCCTCGATATCAAAGGTGTCTGATTCAGTCGATCAATGAATTATATTCGAAATACTTGCGTGGAAAGGTGTTCCCACGAAATATGTGAGCATTTTACGTGCTGTATACTTGCAAACTACAGTCCGCGTCAGAGTCTATGGTGACCTGTCGGGTATCTTCCCGACAACAAATCGCGTTCGTTAGAGTTCTTCGAGTTCCTCATTTTTGTTCAATTTCGTCGTAGACTCCATCATGGAGTGTTCTCTTACAGAGCCTCCTGATGCTGGCGTTGAGTTCTGCCTGGTAAAAGCTTAGTTGATCTTGATTATGCGGACGATATCGTCCTGCTGTCTAGCAATATTGAGGCGGCACAACCAGCTCTGAATGGCCTCTCTAGAATGATCTCATTATTTGGTATGCGCTTCGCGACTTCAACGTGCAAAGTGTTGCTGCAGGACCACCAACCAATTGATGACATCTTGACCCTTGATAACGAGGATCTCGAGGTAGTTGCTCGGTTCACGTACCTTGGAAGCTTCATCAGCAACGACTGGCGCATAGCAACCTAAGTCAGTCCGCACGTTTCATAAGCTGGAACTGCCTATTTGAACGTGCGGCATCGTTGGCGACAGAAAGAAGTTTCCTTCCGTCTTTACAAGGCCACAATGAGGGCCGTCCTGCTCTATGGCCCCTTCGGTCTGAAGATCTGAGGCGCCTTCAGATCTTCGATCATTGTCGTCCGCGGAACATTGCTGTTGTCGGGTGGTACCAGCGTGTCCACAACGATGATGCACGTAGGCGAGAACCGAGCAATGATAACCAGGCTAGTACTTTAGAACAACAGATAACACTGAGTAAATTGCGTTGGATTGGGCACGTATTACGAATGCCTGGTCACCGCTTACCTTGGAGTCTTGTTTTGCTTGCCAGACGTAGGTTAGCGTACGGCTCGAGGTTGACAAAAGTTGACTCGGCAGTGTGAAATGAAGTCACTAACGATCAAACTCGGCGCCCTCGGTCTGTCTCGCCTTTCAGGCCAGTCTACGTGACTCGCCTTATGCTTGGCTCGAGACGTTACAGGACATGGCTAGAAGTCGTCACCAGTGGCGCGTCTGTCGCTGTCTCCTAATCGGACTGCTTGTTTGAAGTGTGTTTGGTGCTGAGTTATCTGTGGGGTAATGGCTGATTATGACACGGGGCAGTGAAAGTCGCAGGTAAGCTCTCTCGCTGATGCCGCCTTATTTTTACACGATCCCACTGATTTCCATGGCTTTGTTGGCTCTATATCTAGTTACTAGACTATTGAGATTACATCCCCTGCTTTTGTGACGGTAAGTTTTTATTACAAGATGTGGTCGCTTTGACCCTGAATATGTACTTTGGGCATTAAGATTTTCAAGTAAGTTTTCCTTCTCTACCTGTTATTATTCTTTATTCCATAGGTCATCATGGTGGTATGGCAGCGAAGCATCAGTCCACGTAGCTGGTGTACTTCTGTTGTTTGTGATGTTGATGATGATGACGACTTACACTCTATGTCGTTCTTCCTTAACCAGTTTTCTTCGGGTCGAGTGGCTGTCCGATCGTCGGTCTTTGCGCATTTAACTCCAGGCAGCAAGTCTCGTTTTTTTTTCTTGAGCTTTAAAGCGAGTGAGTAGCAGTCGACCCGAGCGATTGTGAGCTGATCTCGATCGATATCACCCCTGTATATCCTATGTTACACTGCCAACTCAACTTTTGAATCCATTGCCATCGCTTCCACGATCGAGGCTGTTTTTTTCTGGTTTGCTTTCGTGAAACTTGTTGCCACCTATTTACGATCAACTCAAGTCAACAATGTGCTTTATGTATCCACAAAAGGCGAATATTCAGCTACGACACACCATTGATATGGATAATTAGGGAAATAGACTATTACAAGATGGGTATAAACCACTAGGGATAATATCGCTTGAAGTAATTTACCCATCAGGTCTTGATTGACTAAATGAGCAATGAATAATGAGCACTTAACATATGTGACAAATAAAAGGCAACTCACATACCGTCGACCCGTGTGCAGACGTACGTACTTTTGTGCGTGTATCTGGTCGGGGAGTTTGGTACAATTTCAGACAACGCTCTGTGATTGGTATTTTTTGATGCAAATTTGTTGCAAGAATTCTTATGGTTGGATACAGTAGTGTCAACAAGTTCAGGCCTTGAAAAACCACTATATTGACATAGTAGCTTCACTGACCTGACAGTCACTTCGATGTTTTTATTCAAAAGACGGGGTAAAATCACTGGAGAGCAATAAGTCCAGTAGGGTGACACGCAGTGGCAAAACCTAGGATCGAACACCGGGCTACGGACGAAGTTCTGGGACTCTTAACAATGTGAAAATCTCCTAGTTTGGATGACTATATCGTTTACGGGAAGCGATCGCGTAAAACTACAGCTCAACCTCACTCTCAGGTATTTCACAGACGTGATAGACTTCACCCCTTCACCGTCGATATGACGTTTTTTGCGCTGCGTAAGAATTTTCTGGTATTAGTCTCCTGTAAACAACAAAATGTTCAACGATAGGCAGTGGGCTTTGGAGAAAACTGTGAAGTTGTCTGCGGAGGGTTGTATTCTGACCGATGAATCTATTTTTAGATCATGGACACCCAGCATAAGATCATCTACTTGCTTCCGCAAGATATCTTTTGAGGGATGGGGATTGAGTTCACACAAGTAGAAAATAAATGTGCGGACAGAATCGCTCCCTGAAATACACCAAAATTCGTCATAAGTGATAAAAGGTTCTTCCCCACAAACTTGGTAAAATGGATCAACTTTTTGAAATAGCTCAGTGGATGAACAACATAAGGTTGAACTCCATAGCCGAACAGATCGCGCAACAACAGTTCACGGTTAACACAGTCGAAATCGTCGCTACCGTCCAGAAAACTGATGTGACTGGATTTGTTTTTACTATCCATTGATGAAAGCACATAATTTGAGAGGTAAGCTATCGCGCATCTTAGGTAGATCTCGAACTGCGATCTATCTTCGTAAACTGTCACAGAGGCGAAACGGCTGCAAACCGATCCCCGGGCGAAAAGATACGAACTCAATCAGGCTCGAAGGGTGTGCAAGCCGACTCAATTCGGAAGGGGAGGTGACAGCTGGGCGAGAAAGCTGAGTGCCAACGCTCACGCATTCGCCACCTATTGTGTGTGGGAAAGTTCCTGCGAGCGTGTTAGCAGGACCCAGCCGAGAGCTGATGAAATCGCGCGTCAGACATCACGCGCGTTGCCGTGCGTTGCGTAGGCGGACAAAGACTGTAGTGCCCGAGCAACACGATGAACTGGACAGATGGAGCGGACAAGTATGTGTGGAGCGTGGGCGTACAGTCAAATCCGCATTGTGATACCGACAAATAAGTATGCGCTTTCCTTGCCCTAATAGATCTCTGGTCTGCTGAGTACTCTTCTATCTTCCTTCCGGTCGGGTTTGCCAAGGGGTTAAACAGAGCACGCGTAAGGGCGCAGACTTAGCAGCAGGCGTAAATCAGTCCAGTCAAGAGCGGGCACAGCGTTATAACATAAACGTCTTGTGACTGTTCCTTTGTTTTGCCTATTTTCGGCTTGACTGCCACACTTTTTGTGCGAATTTTAAACAGCCTTGCCTCATGATTTGTCAACCCATGAGTTGGACACTTCTGGCAAGATATTCTATTCCCTTTCTCGAATTATGCGCCGCTATGCCATATTGGTCATCCTTTTTCCATTTTCTATAAAACTATTCAGGCTGCTATGGAGGGATTCGAGGTGACAACCGTAGATGAAGCTGTGAAGACGGCGCGTATCTTCGTGAGCGCCACCGGCTGTCGGGACATACTTACCGGTGCCCATTTCGAGCACATGATGGAGGATTCGATTGTCTGCAACATCGGCCATTTTGACACCGAGGTGGATGTCAAGTGGTTGAACACGAACTGTGCGAAGAAAGAACAGATCAAACCCCAGGTACATTACAATGTAAACTTGCATTGCATATCAGCCAATTAATTGAACGATCATTTGTCTTGACGACCTACGCTCTTTGGGAGAGCGCCGCAAAATCTTTCTCAGTTGTTCCATATTGTATGTGGGTTTAATCTGAACCTGGGCTTCTAGGACATCTACCATGTAATTCAACAATCAACAGTTCTAGGATGCGTAGATACAAGCGGTATCGTAGTATTCCTCATCCGCGAGCGACTCGTCGTCGCTTGTCAGCAAGGCATTTGTACGACGTACCGGCGCACTTATGTAGCCTCTGTCTACTTTGGGACTGATTCTAGCGACTTGTTCATTTTGAGATCCGCAATCAACCCCGGTTTTCAGCTTACTCTTATGTTCCACTTCTCTAGTTGTATCAGCTGTTTTATATGAACTTATTTTGTATACAGCTGCTTCCAGAGCAGTTCCGGACCAGTTAAATGGTGTTAGTATGTGCCTTCGTTGGAACCCATCATCACTCATCTATCTCTGTTAGATTGTATCCTCATCCTCACCTATACTACTCTGGGCTGATCCCTTCAGAATCATTCGTGTCACAAAGGCGGTCCACGAGATCTGATGTCCAACCGTCGGCCGATAAACCGTACTTCCGTCGTCGCTTAGGCCTTGGGGCGAATCCTCAAAAATTGGGTGACTCAGTTTCTGACAAGACGAAACTTACTCAGCAGTTCCCAACACTGGTACACTACAAAACATTCATGCTTCAAATGCCAATTACAGCTCCTTGATCATGTTACAGCAACAGCTGTTGGTGTCGTGGTCATCATAGCCACCCTTCTAAACATGCAGAAAGCCTTTGTCTACGAAACACACAAGCCTTTATTGGCCGCGCTTGAATCCTGTGGCATCAGTAATCCTCTGTTGAACTGGTTGGACTCATACCTGAACAACGGAACAAATGAGTACGGATAGGCCAACATAGGAAATGTCGGGAATGTATTGGGTCCATTACTTTTCTCGTTTATATAAACGACTACATTAGACATTACATTACATTCGAACGACATCAATGTTCTCATTTCTACGTGACCATCTGGAATTATGCGTTAAAAGCATCCGCGAAGATCTATTATGTCTAAACAAATGGAGAGAAAGCGCGTCAATGAGGTTTTCCGCAGACCAATCTCAGATACTCAGCCAAAGATGCAGTATACCATAGGGACCCATCACTCTTACTGCTACCCACATCCCAACTCCATATTCCGTTCGGGGCCTTGGAATTTGATATTCTAGCAGCTTCAACTACTCCGAACACGTTCTACACCAATTAACGAATGTGAAACAACTAACAGATTACATCACTAGGTCATTTCCACTATCCCAAACACGGTTGGAATCATAAAACTCATAGTGCGACCCACTTTAGAGTACTGCACCATCATACATGACCACTTACGTAAGGCAGACAGAATTGCTTTGGAAAACTTCCAGCGCTCATTAATGCTTGTCTATTGGAACGATGTTCTTACCTCCAACAGCCCAGTCTAGCTTCAACACTATATAGTGCATTCCCCCTGGATATCCCAGCTATACTCACCATTCATGGGGCTAGTCTCATTAGTATGTTTACAACCCGGTTCACTTTCTTGTAGTCTGTTTAACTTGATCGTGTATTCCTCTCTCCTCTGATGTATTAATGTTCCGCTTGGTTTAAATGAGTGCGGTCAGTATTCGCCGTAATACACATTGGCTGCCTTGCCTTGCGTTCTCTGGGTTTTTGCTGGTGTGCTAGACAGACGCATTGTTCTATTGCGTCGCCGGAAACAATTTTCACCTAGTTCTTTATTCCTGCGACCGACATCATTGCTTCTGGAGCAGTGCGCATTACACTATAACATAATCGCGAGTCTTTTTAACCAGCGCCCGGCCCGTAGCCTTAAGGATCACAAGCCTGCTTTGTAATCTCTGCGCGCGGGTTCTAGCCTGCGTAGGGGCAGGGAGACCCTCGCTGTATGCTTAGCCCACGTGCGACTGGTGGTGGTTGCGCGGCAGCGAAGCGTCGGTGCTGCGTACCGGCCTACTGTTGATGCCTTAACTAATGCAGCTGTCGCCTTACATAATTGTTCAACCTATCCCACTCGTAATGCGAAATGTCTACTATTCAAGCAGAATATTCGCTGAAATTTCTTTACAGTGATGTTCGCCCATCTGTGGAAAAAACCACCGTTGCGATTAAGGACCAGCGAGAACCTGTCTATATTTGAATCAGATTTAAAATCTTTATCTTCCATGCCACATGTCGTCAACCTTTTCTGCCTTCAGCAATCTACGAATACACTCATGGAGCCGGCCTGGTAAACATATGACAAAACTAGTTTTTCATTGATGTTACTTATCACGTATTTCACAAAACATTGCCTCACTGATCCATATTGATTGCAACTTCATAAATAAAATGCTGATGAAACTCGCCGTATAAATGTTCCTTCCACAAAAGGGTACGTATCCCGCCCATAAAGAAATACGCCTAATTACCTATTTATACTGGGGCCTATATTTTTGTTCGAATGAACTGCCTCCAAGTTTTTCGTTTGTGAACCACGTTCTGTTTCATAATTTTTCCCTTTTTCGTCAACTTCATTGTTGTCCATAATTTCGCGGTTTCGGCACAACTGCAGTATATCCACGATCAATTTGGTAGCTTCCTACTTGGGCACCTTATCATCAACTGTTCCGACATCCTGTGTTTAATCCGACCAATGCACTTGATGTCACCACTGGCCAGCCTCGTGCATTGTTGTGCTTTATAGCCATCTGATTAGCCCCCTATTTTCAGCCTTTTCTTCGTCTTTTCCTCAAACTTTACTATTCGCTTTCTTCCTACCGTCAAATCACTAGCCGTAAAATTTGGTACCCTTATCTCGTTAGCATGTTGCTTACTCATCCTGCTCTCTGTGGTTTTCTTCGGTCAACCCGGGGCTGCAACTCTTGTCTGCAGCTGACCTAACTGGGTGTACTCCTAAATTCACTGGGCCACGTCTATGCAGGATCAGATCTTTTCTCCGACTATACGGATAGTTGCAGTCCGTTTCCAGCACTTCACTTGGTGAGAGCTTTTTGACTATGCGACAGTACTTTCGATGCTCCTTCTTGTCAATGCCACTGCTGGTCCTTATTCTAGTGCCATCGGAAGACACTATACCTTTTCTTAGCCAACGGAATCCATAGCGTTTTAAAATTCCTCCTTAAGGAAATCGTGTTCCTTCATTGATCTCTCAAGATGGTCCTTAACGCTGTTAAGTTGCATTCAACCAGCTCAAAAGCTCCTACAAAATACGTGATGTTTGTTGAGCGATCAATCTCAACTAAGCAGATACAGTCGGACCTGTCTAAAACAACCACTCAACGGATCGACAAAAAGTGCTCGCCTTGGACAAGTGATCGCCATAGACAAGTTCATGCATAAGGACATTACTTATAGGAGAAAAGTTGGGTATGTTTTTGGCTGGTCGCCATAGCGGGTTAGACTGTATCACAACAGACAGTAGGATGCTATTGACTGATTTGGGTTGGCCACTTAATAGACCGAAGCATTTAGGGTCGTTCGTGCTCTCTGGATTTAACCTGAAAGCGTGAAGGACCATGTTGAGAGATCTAGGGAGGAACATGATTTCCTTAAGGAGGAATTTGAAAATGCTATGGATTCAATTAGTTGGGAAAAGGTATAATCATCAATTCGCATGATCTTGCTATAGGTGCCCACTTTCTTATTATTTTCGTCTACCATTATAACAGATGAAGGCCCGTTAACGTCCCCTCAACCATTCTCGAATACATTTCACTTTTATGACAGTGGTAACACCATCAACGCGGCTTCGAGTAATGTTATGAAGTATCACTTGTTTACTCCTCCATGACTCGTGGTAAATCTACCAGGGAGATGTCGCGTTCACACCAATTTCTTCGTTCATCGTTTAGCAGTCTGATCCTGTTAGACATCTCAGAGACAACAGTGATCTGTGAGCCCATTCACTGTACTAGTTTGGGTGTTTAAGACTCGGCTCCAAAGCTCAATATCCGGGTCGTGTCGAATATCTTCGTTCTTCCAAATGACCTATTGTCCTCCTCCTTCATTATCATCACCATTGTTCAACGCGTTAGCTAAAGATCAAACATATTTTGACTATTTTGCCGCGTTACAGAAAAGTTGCATAGAAATAGAAAGGAATGAAAAGTACACAAACACTATGCTTTATTTCATGTCATACATTAGTAATGCTATTGCAAAAACTCACAACGCAGACGTCATTAAGATCGACTCTTAGTCATGTCATCAATTGTCTCCAACCTCTCTCGGCCGCTGCCCAGGAGTTGAGAGCGCCAACCGAAGCCAAGTTCAATGTGGTTACCTTCATTCGTCTTGATACTTTACTCGATACCGATCTTTAGTCGGGTTGTCAGTAGTACCTTGGCACCGTAGACGCTGGCGAAAGCTAAGTTGCGCCTAACCGTTCCTAATGACCCCTACGACAATACCCAGTTACCGCATCACTGCACTCACCCATAGTTAAATCATGCTGGGGGCCGCCCAAAGGTGGTGCTGTAATCTGAGTTTACACGTACTAGCGCTTAAGCACTTTTTCTGGAGTGATCAATATTACCGCCGGCGACGAGCCTGATCCGTTTCGGCGTGTTAGCTTAAACGGCGTAAGCGGATCTGTGTGCTTGTCATCCATCCATCTGCCGCCAATGAATTCTAAGTGTCCCCATGTTAAGCCTATCCACACCTATTTAAACGGCTAATTTTCACGCGACCACAATTTCAGCGGCCCCTCAGTATAATCCAGTTGAAAACAAGCACAAGTCTGCCTGTTTTGGTGTCACTGAATGCGAGTATCTTTTCATCCATACCAGCTGTCCTAATTGAACTTTTTCACTGTTTCTGGGTCCTGCACAAGCTATTTTAGCCTATTTTAGTGATGAATTTCAAGACGTCTCTCGTCGTTTGTTTGTGATTTGCGCTTCTGAAATCGAATCTGGCTTCCAAACCGACGCATATAATCAAGCTGTCAGAAGGCATCACATGCCTCACCTCGCGCTGTTCATCTTCCAGGCGCAAAGCATTGCTGTTCTTGGGATTATGAAAAACTTCAAGACTTTGGTCAAATGGTCGCACCACTGACGAAGTTACCTCTCATCTCATTAAAATTTTGTGAATCTTCCAAGTCCCTGCTATAATGTTTCGAAATACTGGTAGCTCGGGTTGACAAATCAATTGTTCATTTGTTCTCCGAGCTTGGCGGTTTCGTCGTAAACGTTTCACCACCATGCGAGGTGGCATCCTCAGTGCAGCGAGATGCGACGTGCAATCTTACTGAATCCTCCATCCGTGATCGACCTGCAGGTTACTTTTGAAAGTAACAGTGTCGATTTACGTCCCGTGACCTCTACCCAATTTCCCCAAGGCTAAAATCGGCGCCCGAGTTGCCTTAAACTGCGTGACAAAATGTTCTTTATTTCTTTCTGTCGCAGTGGTTCGTATATTGAATCAATCGTAATCCGTGTTCCAGCCTGCGTAGGAACCGGTCGACCTTCGCAGTATGCTTAGCCCACGTGCGACTGGTGGTGGTTGCGCAGCAGCGAAGCGTCCCTACTGTGTAGCGGCATACTGCTGATGCCTTATCATGAGTTCTATGGTCTTTGATTGGCTCACCCTGCGCTGTGCTACAGCTTATCATCAACCTCCGGGTTTGTCCATCGCGTTCGAGGCCAACGTACACCCATATGTTTGTCTCCTAGTACTTAGCGGCTAAACATGAAAGGTGTCCTCTCGAAGCCGAAATGCTTGTGGCCAAATTATCTCGCCCGGAAAGCGCATCATCGTTTAAACTGCCAATGCACCCTTCCTGTTTCTAGCTGTTTTTAACTGCTTACCGTCGATAACCTACTGATTGCTTACGTAAAGGCAAAGCGATTTTTTATTGCTCGTGGTTAGCCGAATTTTAGTTATAATTTGAGGGCTTTCATCCCAGTAGTTTGCTACATAGCATAGCTTAGTCCGGGAAAGCACCAGACGCGTTTCGCACTATTGTGGCTCTTCAGTGGTACGCATTCCCTCGTTCCCCTAATGGAGATCGAACCCATGAACGCTAGAGGCAGATGCCAACTAGCCAGCAGCTTAAGCTAACTAGCTAGCCGGCTTGCCACTGTCCTACTATCTCCCAATTAGCTTGCAAATTATATAGCCCAGCCAACATCCCCCATGGCTCCGTGACTTAAGCTGCTGGCTAGTTGACATCTGCCTCTAGCCTTCATGGGTTCGATCCGCATTGGGGGACCGAGGGAATACGCACCACTGAGGAACCGCAATAGAGCGAAACGCCTCTGGTGCTTTTCTGCAATAGGCTTGTCTTATGTAGCTTGTAAACTATTGGGATGAAAGCCTTAAAGAGATTTTTATTAATGATCCACTTCTCAACGTATATTGGCAAATCTTAGCATCAATTCTGCTATTCGATATCCTCCATTTTGTCCCCTGTCGTTTTGGATTCCTTTGCCCTTAAAATACGAGTACGATTTGACTCTTATTGTCAGATTGCTCGCCGCATGCCATATTAGATTTATATTTTATAGCGGTATTTCAGATAACACCAACCTGCCTGACTGCGTTTACAGCCTGCTGGTGCTGCCTGCTCCAATGACCTCACCGTTCACTTGTTTTGTGACTCCACGTTCCCCGCGATCGCTTTTACCCTTGTATACTAACTGCTGTATACCTGCTCTGCCGCACTTGAATAGTGGGAGATGCTGAGTTGCAGTGATTTGGCGCTACTACTGTCAGAACACTACGTCTTCCAACTGCGTACATGCGCCCGATAAAGCCGATACCGACGTCATCTCACATGGTGACGTAATCAGTTTTTCAGTTCAGCCATTGTATCTTTACAGTTGATTGCGTGTGGGCAACCAGTTAATTTCCTGAACTTTCTCAGGCGCTCCTGCTTTTTCCATATATCCCTGCACTCTGTTGCCTTTTTAACCAGATTTCCACTCACATGTTGTTCTACTCCCTTCCAGGTCGATCGTTACACACTGAAGAACGGAAGACACATCATTGTGCTTGCCGAGGGCCGACTTGTGAATCTCGGTTGTGCTCACGGACATCCAAGCTTCGTGATGTCGAACTCTTTCACGAATCAGGTGTTGGCTCAAATTGAGTTATGGACTAATCCCCAGGCGTACGGTGCTGGTGTTCACTTTCTACCGAAAAAGGTACGTACTATTTTTGTTCTATCCTTTTGCCAGCTCTAATTTTATCAACCAAATGCCCAGGTTTTTCTACCAGTGTTACACTGCGTCGAGAAGACTTATTATGTCCAGGTGTTACTGCGCTGCACGACTTGGCAGAGCCCAATCTAGCCAGTATAAGTGGCGGATGGTTCCACCTATTTTAGTCGGCACTGGTCGCATTTTCCACATACCTGTTATCAGTTGCGCCTTATGATGGTAGGTTGGTGGTTTGGGCAGACGAGACCGATGCTGTCAGTGGACAAAAAGCCAGCAACGGTCACCACATGTAAAATATGGCTATAATAATAATGTGTCAGCTATACGTCGTAACGGCGCTTCGCTGCCGCGCGACCACCAGCAGTCGCGCGTGGGCTGAGTATACTGTGAGAACTCCCGCCTCTACGCGGATTCGAACCAGTGACCTTATGACTGCAAGTCAGGCCACCGGCCGACGTACTTACATAGGCTAGATGGACAGTCCATACTTGGTTTGGCCTAGAATGAGTGAAACCAAAGGTGACTCCGGACTGCGAAGGTGTGGATCGGACAGAACAGCAAGCGTAACTCACTGAATCCAGGCGGACTATGTTACACGGGAGACAAAGGCTAATCAATAAATTGAGACACAATGAGATGGCGATTCGAATGAAAACTCTCTGACAGTAACAACTTTTTGCTTGATGCCCAGGCTTCGTTTTACTTCTAGCATGGCTGCTCAACACCGTTCCTTTACTTTTGTTTTTACATTGATCGAATGACGCGTTTGACTCTCCTGTCGCATTGTCTCTACTTCCGTTCCCTTTCCATCCTACGGTTCCGGTACTTAGTTTGATTCATAACTGTCGTCATACAATGCCATTTCGATGAACTTCACCAGTTCAATCAGTTTTACACTTAAAATATCTTTTATCTATCCACCGAGTGACTACATTGCGACACAGCTTCAGTGCGTCTATGTTTACTTTGGGCTAAATCGCGGTATTTTCAGCCACTGTGGTCAACCAAAGTCCCCCAAAGCCCATAAATGGACCACAATGCTGGCTAAGCGGAGCTTGATATGCTAGTGACGACCTGAGCCACCACCCACGAGACTACGAGCCCTGTTTTTGTGCCAGGCTACATATCACTTAACAGTCATCGGACTAAGCGTTGGGTGCGAGCAGCACCCGATTCGCTCTTACCCTGTGTTCTTTTGCGCATATAATCGTTGGTTCACTTTTAATTATCACAACTTCATTGTTGGGAGTTGTTTGTTTCCCTTACTTTGCTCATGAAGTGGGGTTTGTGCTCATAATGACGATTATTCCCATCGAATACCATACTTGTAGGCGATCTATGACTTCTTAGCAATTGCCCACTCATTGTCTCCAGCTCATATCTTTCCAGCACTAGTCCTGCAGCATACATTTCGGGCGTTGCCACTTTTCATTCACTGGTGGCTTCATTATACCCTCAGAAATTGGCCTGAGATCCAAGTTTGTCCACCATCGTTCCCTGTTCTTAACAGAAAACAAGGGCCATGTGAAAACTGTCAAAGCATCTTTATATTGCGACCACCGTGGAACCTCTTGCATCCGTCATTCCGCGGCTGCTCCATGAGCATTCGAAAAATGGAATCCATGTTGGCTGCGTTCCGTCCCGTTTCTACACCCTTGTCTATTGGAACAAGACAGACAGCCTCTCATGATCGTTTTCTTTGTCTTAATAACTCTTTTTTCAATCATTCGTGCTTATTCGTCACGCTGTCCGTCTTCGAACGATGTACTGTGGAAATTCTATGCTGTTCTGTGATTTAAAGCAATTAGCTTCCCTCAACAATTTGAAAAGCACAGTGCGAAGACGAAGCTCGACAGATGTATACATTTCGTATCATCCCTTCTGTGTCGAAAACGGTAGCTGAAAATAAAATGCAATTGGCAATTGACACAGACTTGCAAACAAAAGTAAAGAAAATCTGAAATCACATCCCTACTTCCAAGACAACCTGAAGCTGAACGATATTGGCTTTTGAACATAAGGCTGCGGTTTATTGTAACAGCCTCGGCGAAGCAGGGGAAATTATACTTGGTATACCGCGGTGAAACTTTGTGTGACGTGCTGACCTTTATCCGGGGACCTGCCGCGTATAAGTGCCTGCCGATCAAAGATGCTGGTGTCCTGCATGAACGCGTAGCCTAACCTCTGGGCATGCTTGTTCCGCCGTCTTGTATTGGATCGTTCTCCTTCATCAGAGAACTCAAGATCTTATAGGTCCTACCTATGTAACTAGTTCTGCACAATGGAAGATGATTGATTGGCTGAGTTTCTTTCAGTGGAGGCAGCGGCAGCTTGGGGGTTCGGCCGATAATGTCAATTTTCACAGCACAGAAGGTGCTCTGCGTGGCAGAGATCAGTCGCTTGGTAGTCCTGAGTGTATCAGTGTCACCCTTAAAGGGGCTCCGAGAATATGTGCTTTGTAAACACGGTGAGCACTGGGTTTCTCTTTCGGATGATTTGACTGTGCTCCTCGATGAACCAGCGACGGTAGCCATTTTCAGCTAGTGTACTTGTTATCAGTTCCATTTTGTCGACCTGACAGTCGAATGTATTCTCCTGGCACGACTGAATAAGGTCTTAACAAGCATCCACTTGTATCGCATTGATGTGACGCTGGTGAACTGTAGGTACTGGCTAGATCACTTTGCATGCATCTACCGAGCTTCGTGGTCTGAAATTATGCACTCACGCGTCGCTGAGCTTTGTGTGAGTCATTGGAAAGCTCTCAGGCTCACTGTAACTAGTGTAATGCACCAGGGCTGTCGTACATCTCCCTGCAGCTTTGTGATTGAAAATATCACGAGTTTGTCCCTCCTACCTCTCTACAAGTGGAGCTTTTTCCTGAAGTCCGATTGACTTGCTTTGAGTAGATCGGCGATAAGGCTGTCTAGGCGTCTGGCCCAACTGCTATGCAAATGCTTCTTACTAGATTGTTACCATGCTTCGCTACACTTTGGCGTGTGTTCGACGCCTTCCCATTTCATGGTATGGTTGCAAGACTTGGCCGAGACGCCACAACTAGCTAAAACAGTCTTGTCAGTCGAATCACAGAAGTGACTGATTATGCGGATCCTTATGGATTGTGGAACTTTTTAAGCCAGTCTTCCATGGCGGCAGCCTGATGTTAGCTTGCCTGTTACAGATAGAGTTAGCAATCCTTCGGTGAGACCAATTTTACTGTCTGACTGAGAGACGTGGCCAATGTATGCAAACGACGTTAATAGACTACTCATCTTTGACTAGTCCTATTTACGCGGTTTAACTGGCACCTGGGTAATGAAATGTAATGTGCCAGCTGTACACCGTAACGGCGCTTTGCTGCCGTGCGATCACCACCAGTCGCACGCGGGCTGGATATACCGCGAGCACGCCCGCCCCTACGCGGATTCGAACCCACGCCGCAAGATTACGAGACAAATTCGTTACCTCTAGGCTACGGGCCGACATAACTGGCACCTAGCGAAGCGTCGATTGAGCTATGCAGTGATCCATCAGTTGACGCCTGGCGACAAGTCTTCCACTGTTAAACTATTTCTTATCTCGAACTTACACTGTCTTCATTTGCTAACTTGCATTCCTCTGATGCGCGTCGTGTTCGCAAATACTATAATCGTTTGGTTGGAGCTACTTCGAAGGTCAAGTGATGGCGTAACGAAAGGGCACGATGAAACGGATGGAAGACAACCTTGCTTAGAGTGGTTCGTATCATTTTCCTCAATGAGGCACACTGGATCAACAACGGCCAACTACAGTTAGGAGCTCTTTATGATATAGCACAGTCACAAGATTCGGTACACTCTAGCATTAAACCCACGCACTTTAAGTGTTGTCAGTTCCATCTCGAAGTTCCACCTTTTCGTTCTTTTTGTCTTCCACCTTTCCCTCTTCATTCTTCCCTGTTGTTTGTTGCTATTCCATCCCCATCCTTCTACACGTTAGCTGGAGATGAGAAACACGTCCGCTAGTGTGCCGTAGTACAATTCAGCTGGGTGGTGTAAAAAGAATGGGAAAACGCATCAAAATAATGGCCAAAATAGTATCATGGTTTTGGGTGTTTCCCGGGGTTTTCGATATGTCAGCCGGAGCGTATACGCCGTATACACCCCGACCTCAATGGCGTTTGTGTGGTGAGTTTCTTCGTCCCTACCCTCCCAATTAGCTTCCTTTTCCAACTACGATCTCATTTATTAGGCATATGACTTCTTCGCGGCACAACAACCGCCGGTTAGCTCTCCGGAACGGTGATTATGCGTTACTGGTAACTCAGCCGACGTTCCTCTGTTTCGTTTTTTTCTTTTTTGTATTGCGGCACAATAACCGAGGCCTCTTCCACCTGCAGCTAATACGTATGATGATGTCTAGTGATGTATACACCTGCGCCACCGAGTTTTCATAACGGTTAATGCCTGATTTACTTCGAGTGCAATATATCTCTACCTGATGAGATCAAAAACAAGTTCGAAAGCGATCTTGAAGCGCTTTTTTTTCAGACGGTCAATACCCAATAGCCATCAGCTTCCTCTGCGGCCCTAGTGATTGAATTGACTATGATTCACTTTAATACGAATCGCGTTACACCTTGAGGTTGCGCTTCGCGATCTCCATCACACAACGAGTACTTCGAACTGTTCCGTCCAATCAATGATATGCTTTGAATGGACCATCGGATCGTGGTTGGAGGGAAGGTATAAAGAATCCGCAATACAAACGCCATTGATTTCGGCTTTTGGCCATGTCAATAAATGTTACCGGACAAACGGATTCATCATCTTTCGGACCTCAACCAGGTAGTGGGGAACCACCTGCTGAGGCCAAGTTTAAAGTGAGAGCCTCTTGGCCAAGTCATCTGTTGGCTGCTTCTCGTCCATCAACCCCATGGTCGCGCAGCAATGCATGCCGTGGGAGTCAGTATGCTCTCTTGCGTAACACTTGCCCCATCCATCATATTTGGCTATTTCAGTGGCAACCTGGCCTATAACCATTGTATCTATCCCACATCGGGATTCGGCTCATGGACAACCGGTTGGATTTATCTAATATCTTAGTTTATTGTCGTTTGCCAGGATGGAATGTGTAACTGCCTCTCGTTGTAGTTTGGTGTTCTTCGTCTTTTAACCCACTACTTTGTTTTGTTACGCTATTTTCGCGCATAGTATTCTATATTCATTGGCAGTTCCGCACCTACAATCGAGTAATAAAGACACCACTTAATTCTGTTATCTCTAGTGGAAGCTGACATTAACCTAATGTCAACTACAGATCCCCATTTTGCGCGATCTGTTTCTCGCTGTTGCTTGGTAACACGACTTAGTGTGCTATTATTTCTCTTAAGTGAAATTCTTCACGTTCTTGGTCGATTATGTTAAGGCAGCTATTTGCAATTTGTTCTTCCCCTCCTTCAATTTCTCCTACTTATCGAAGGGGTCTAGTAAAACTTACACGGTGTAATAATCCGAATTAGTCTGGAATACACTTTATGCTTCCGTTCGAGGGATTGTGATTGTTGATTTTTATTGACTGCCAGTTAATCCTGTTTTATTTACAACACCTCAAGCCACATTGTTTAGCGTCTGTTGGCTTTTATTTTCATTACACGTTCCTTTGTCCCCTTTCTATTCTCTCTACCTTAGTTGGATGAGCAAGTTGCCGCTGCGCACCTGGAACATTTGGGTGTGAAGCTAACCAAGCTAACTCCCGTTCAAGCCGAATACTTAGGTGTTCCGATAGACGGACCTTTCAAGGCGGACCATTATCGCTACTAGGTTGTGTTTCTCCTCTTGCCATCACCACTGTTGGTGTGAATCGGCTAGATATGTCTTTGTATAAACATCCACGCTCCCGCCGTTTGCTCTGCCTTGTTGCATCGCAATTACCCATCATGCTTTTTGTAAAATGATTTCACTCCGTCGTGATGTTCACACTCGGTTCGATCACATCACGAGCTCTCTGTGCACAGGTATCGATTTGCGCTCCACCTTTTATCCGATGCTATTATCCTTGTATTTTAATTAGTACCGTATTTTCAAGTGCGTTAGAGACACAAGTCCGCTCTTATGCTTGATCAGCACCGAGATTGATGCCTATATTAGCATTTGCTCTTTATTGTATTTCGGATCCCTCTGCTTGCCGATCGATTTCTGCCTCTGTGTGTATTCTCTGTACGTGACCTGCAGTTGATTATTTTTGTCAATACACATTTCTTAATACCCTACGGCCTCCTTCGAATTTAGCAAAGCTACTTGTGGTACACAACTTTCTCTGAGCACTCCTGTGATTTATCTTTTTCGTCGTTCGTGCTCTGTGCCTGCGTCCTTCATCGATGCCCGATTGTATTCGGGATGCCATTTAAAATGTACCACAGTACCTCCGTTACGCTCTTCATTTAAGCTGCTCTCCTTCATGTAATTTGAGTAAGTGCTACTCTTCTAAAACATCCTTGTCTCCTTTCTGGAAAGTGCGCACGCCTCTTGAGTACCAGTTTTTCAACCACATCCGATACGTCATCCATCTCACAAAATTGTCATGTGGGCATGTTTACTAACTTTTGCTTCCTAGTGCTCGCCACTTGATCACCTTTATCGCATTCCTGGTCTCGAACTATGCATCAACAGCACATGTGGAAAGTAATGTTTTGTCTAAGCCTATCTCCACACAGAGATGTTTTCGCTACCGCCAAATGGAAGTCGGTCAATGATTGCATAACCCCTACATTATAACCGGTTATCATTGTTCTTCTAGGGTCCAAATGGGAATGCAACTGTTCAAACGATATGGAATGTTTAGAAATAATGGTGAATAGTCAAAACACAGCAGTATCACAATTACGTGTGCATTTGAGTTTTGTTCTGCCAAGTTGTCTGCTGTAGAGTTTGGGGTTTTATGGCTCTTGGTATCATCCAAACACCAGAGGTGTGATCAAACAGTATCATGAGATATTGAGGGGTTTTCGCTTATCCAACTTTCTTCCCAAACTCGACACTGCTGCGATGAGATTCGGCGGGACATGAAGAAATAGGGAAACGGGAACGTTGTCGGTGTTGTTCACATCTGTGATGTTTATATTTGGTCTTAATAGACAGCATGGTGAAGGACGATTCGTGATACAGTTGTAGACAATTAAGGTCACACAATATGCCATCACAACAATACAGGTTATTTTCACGTAACAGGCTTCAACCGGATTGGAGTTTTGCTTTTCAAACCTAGCTTTGCTTCCTCGCTCTCATACGATGCAAACGAGTTTAAATGAATGAACTAAGGAAACGGACCGTTTCACCGACATCAAACCGCCATGTGCCTTATGAATAGTCGAGCAAGTACTGCAACGCATGTGCCCATTTGTAACACATCAAGTCACTATTGGACGACCGTTTTCAGACATTGGTGGATACGACCTACAGAGATTAACAGTATGATCGTTAAGGTGGAGGGTGATAGCATTCCATCCTTCGTTTCACTGACACAGCTGCTACTATATTTTCGTATCAAGTGTATCAATATAGCAAAGGGACATATGAATGAAAGCCTTCAGAAATTTGGATCACATGCGCCTGTGCATGTGGCGATGATCACTGACGGCAAGACAAAGACTACCATGTACTTAGCATCGCCATTACTATTATCTATCATTGGGAAGCGTGATCCAACGTAATGGGCTACTTTATTATCAAAACTATGTCAAGCACGGAAAGTTGTGTCTGAATGCGGAGAAGAATGTATCAGAAATATAACGAAAGCGATCCCCGGAAGTTAACCGACCACTGGTTGGTTCGGCGGAGCTGTACGCCACCGGGCGCCTCCTCAGGTTTCGGATCGGGGAATACCTTCCTTCCGAAGGTAACTAAATAAGTCTCGGCTGTTCGCAGGCGAGATGAATAAGCAGTCGCGGACTATCGGCGGCAGCGTCCTAGAGCTTGGAGGGTTCTGGGCTGGTCACCTGGTTCGTCATTAAATACCATAAGTGGTCGTAAGAGGCTGTGTCAAAGCCAATGTGACCGGCTATAGGGTCACTGACCACTTACTTCTGGTCACAGAAGTGAGTACTTAGCGGAGCACGGATGAACAACCTCATTGGCCACCGGCTTCTGTGAAGGCCACACGGCTGTCGACCTGGCTTCGCGGCGAGTTCGGTAGTCCAGGGAATCCTGGCCTCGCTGCTTTACTCAGGCTCTTTTGGCGCCCTGAGCTGTTTGCCTCCACTCGGAAGCCGTTTTATCCGGCTCCCAACGGTTCGCGGTATACGTCAATCGCCCCACCGCCTTGCGTGTTAGGTCATTCCTGACCCAAAGCTCCGGGTGGTGTCCCCTGAGTCAACCCTCTTCCTCGGTCTGGGAAACCGGGAAGCACCATACCCACACAACCTATGAATCCATGTCTCAACAATTCTTCTCTCGCTCTATCTGCTTTCGCTATCTCAAACTGCTCTCCTCAGCCGTGGTGCCCTCGGGTGAACCTACTAAACCACGTTTTGCCGCACCACCGTTTAATCAGTCTATTCTACTTCTGTTCAACCCTCCTTCTTAGCCCTCCCCCTCCGTTTTCAAGTTCACAACACCGTGCCGCCTTGGGCGAACGTTCCCGCCATACGGATCAGGAGCCTAGATCCGAGGGTTCCCCAAGTCGTGTTGGCATGGCATTTCTAGTCCGTTCCCTATTCAAGCTGGCAACTTTCAATATTTGGGCGCTGATGCAGATTGGATCACAGACAGCCCCTGCTCGCACTCTACAAACTACGGCCATTGATGCCTGCTGTCTCAGCGAGACCCGTTTACTGGACTCGAGCACGACGCTACGATTAGTTTCACCGTCTGCGAATTCCACTGGAATCTTCACTTTGCGCCTATCTAGAGACTCAACTGCATAAGGCGCTGGTTATGCTGGCGTGGGGATTGCTTTGAGCACAGCTGCTGAGGCCGCGCTACTAGACTGGATCCCTGTCAACAGTCAATTACGCACGATCCGACTTGAAGCCTCAGTGCGACTGTCCAGGCGCGAAGCCATCAGACGCTGTCTGTCTGCAGCGTACCGTCCAACTAACTATAGCCCGGAGTCAGTCAAGGACGAGTTCTATGGTTATTTGGCCGACCGTAAAAATCGCCTTGCTAGCATCGTGGTGCTCGCCGAGAATTTGAACGCGCAGGTCGGTAGACTTAAAGTTGATGAACCTGAACTCGATGGTCAACACGGCCATGGCACTCGCAGAACAGACAACCGTGATCGCCTACTTCAGCTTTGTGCCGATCACAGTCTTGTTCTGTCGAGCACTAGCTTTCGGGGATAATGACGCCAACGCGCCACCTGTAGACCTCCATCACCTGGCCAACCGTGGATACGAATTGACCACATTACCATTAACTCTCGCTGGCGGGGCTGCATACGGGGTTGAAAATCAAAATGGAATACCTACCTCACTTCCAGTCGCGCACTAGTGTGTGCCAAGGTCGCCATACGTTTCGGTGGCTCCCAGCAGCGTCGCCAGAAACGGCTTGACGTGGCTAAGCTTTCTTCCCGAACGTTCTCCGCGCATTTCAGGGTATCTTGGCCTCAAGGCTGAAGACTGCCCCATGCACAGACATGGAAACCCACTGGACACATCCGCATCGCAATGTACAACTCTGCAACCTTGGTCTGTTGCTTCACCAGTAGTCCTGTCAACCACTGGATCTCTGCACGATCCCTCCAACTTCTCGAAGCTCGTCGAACTATTGCTGCTAGCGTTAACTAGCATTCACTACGCAAGACTACTAACGCTGAGCTCAAATGGCTTATCCGCGAAGATCGCGAGACTTCGGGAAATTTCCGTAAGCTTTTCCTCCTGATTCAATCTGCTGGCGGCAAAGGCCTACTGTAAGCGAACTTTTATACGAAATCAGTGGCGAGTAAATTCACTGTCAAAACGCGGGCTCTGGCGTTGGTCCGAACATTTTGAACAGCAGTTTAATTTGATAGCAGCACTGATGAGCTCCCATTCTTTAGTCCAGAGCGCTCCTTCGCGTGCAGTCGCTTCACCCCCATCTGAGGTTGCCCATGAGCTTCGCTTCTTAAAGCGCTACAAAGCACCAGACCCAGATGAACTCCCTCCGGCTCTTTTCAAAGATGGAAGCTTATCACTTGCTTAGGAGTTAACTTCTCTCCTCCAAGAGACCTGGTTTACTGAAGTTATCACATCTGGTTGGAACCTATCGGATATGGTTCCCCTTCTTCATAAAGGGTACCCGAACTGACTGCGCCAATCACAGACGGATTGGTCTCATCTGTGCTTCCTCCAAGGTGCTCGCAGCTCTGCTTTTGTGGAGGCTCAGCCTAGTACGCGAACAGAGCATACGTGAAGAGCAAGCTGGGTCCCGCTCAGTTCAAAGTTGCATCGATCAGATATTTACACTCCGCGAATTACTTGAGCGTCGTCAAACATTTGTTCGGCCAACAATCGTTATCTTAGGTGTACAGGCCGCGTTTGACTCAGTTGACCGAGCTGCTCTCTAGGGTTGTCTACTGAGAAGGGGAGTGCGCGAGAAGTATGTCACTTATTTCAAGCCATCTACTTTCGGGCCGAGTGTGGGTGAGTGGATGACTTCCCCCCTTTAGTATCACTAGTGGCGTGGGACAGGGTTGCCCAGGATTTCCCTTATTCGATTTCGCCGTTTACGAAATCCTGGAGGGTACTCTGGAGGACTGCGAACCCAGTGGTGTTGAGCTGCTTTCAGGGACCGATTTCGGAATTTGGAATATGCAGACGACATCGACGTAATCTGCGATTCCCCACAGGCGGCCCAAAATGTCCTGTGTAGGCTGAAGTTGTCTGTCGCAGTTTGGAAAGACCTTCGCACCATCGAAGTGCAAGGTCTTTCTACAGGACTAGCTAGGTTCTGCTCCTATCCTTATACTTTCAGGTCATTCATTGGAAGTGGTGGACAAGTTCGTTTACCTCGGAAGCTGCCTCAGCGCTAATGGCTTAACAGATGGGGTTCCTTTGCGCCTCTCCAAGTCCCAGGTTGCTTTTGCCAATCTCTGGTGTTGAGGTGATCTGAGTCTAACTCTGAGGGGTCGAGTTTACAATGCTACAGTGAGAGCAGTTCTGCTCTATGGCTGCGAGATTTGGCCTTTTTACGCAAATGATGTTGAGAACGTGTCTGTTTTCGATTACCTCTACTTTCGGAGCATTGCTGGTGTACGATGACGACATTACACTAGTAGTGAAGATATTCGACGGAG